ACACACACACACAGTACAAGTGAGTCATCTGGCAAATCCCAGCAGGGGAGCAGTCAGACTTCAGGAAACCAAGACTTGTCTTCCACTTTCACACAGGGAGCAGCTGATCCCTCATCCCCCGCACTCCCCCCCACAACACCCAGGCCTTGTGTTGCAGCGAAGAGCAGCAGGCCAGCCAGCGCGAGGCAGGGAGGGGGCCTGCGGAGCACCGCGCCTGGCTTTGCTATTTTCGTCCCTACCCAGGCACGGATCAGTGTCCTCCAGCCAGCTCTGTCCAGTAGAACTTTCCGTGATGATGAAAGTGTTCTATATCCACGCTGTCCAGCACAGTAGCCAGTGGCCACATGGAGCTCTGGAGCACTGCACTGTGGCTGGAGCAACCGAGGAACTGAATTTGTATTCTATTCAGTATTTATTCATGTTAAGCAGCCGCATTGGCTCATGGCTGCTGAATTGGCTAGCACAGCCCTAGGCCAAAGACAAGCCCAGTGCATCCAGGCTCACCTGTGATGCTTTCTGCCTGTCCCCCTGCACCCTGCTGCCGTGGGTGGTCACACTTTAAAGCCACTGTGTAGCTGCACTGACCTTCCCCAGTGTCCCAGCCACGCCCCACACTCTTCCAGGGCTATGAATCCCTAGTGCACCTCCATCTCGTGCACTTCTGAAGCCAAGCTGCTCTACCCATTTTTCCCTTACGTTGGTCAAGATGGAGTGGGAGACTAACCGCAGTCCAGGGCCAGCTGTCGTGGTGCTGGGGCCTGATCAGGAGGCCCCGAGTGGATGGTCAGATTTCAGACAGCAGCAAGCATCCCCCTCTATCTGTCCACCACTGCGACTAGGAAGCAAATCAAAGCCCAAACACCTCTTAAGAGCCCGCCTGCGCCTGCCGCCAAAACCCCTGGCCAGTGCAAGAGGACAGCAGCAGCCAAGGGCAGCTTTGGAGGAAGCAGTTGAGTCTGGGTAATTTGTATGCATTGTGCAATTGTGTTGGGTGTATTACTCCCCCTGCCCCGGACACTTCAGAGTCCACAGCGGCTGGGCCTCCACCTAGACACTCTCTATGTTTGCTGGGACTCAGAAGAGTGCAGTCCTTGGGCGCATGTTCATGTTACCATGGGGAGAGGCCCACAGCCCCCACAGCTGCCTCAGAGGGAACGGGGAACACTCTGTGAATGCAGGGGCTGCCCGGGGCCCCCTCCGCTGTGGCAGGACCAGGGCTGTTAGAGAGCTTGCTGGCAGGACCAGGGACGGAAGCCTGAGCAGAACCCACCCAAACACCCCAAAGGCCTCCCTTCCTTGGTCGCTGGCTATTAACAGGACATCAAAGGCCCTGCCTCTTCCTCTTCAGGAGGAAGTCCAATATTCCACATTTCCCTCCTCTGTAGAATCCCCTCTGCATCTAGAGGTGGGTGATGGGTCTGGGACCTGTTTCTCTTCCCCCCAGGTCAGTTTCCAGTTGCAGATTAAAGAAACAGCAGGGCACGATGCACCCCTAAATGCTGCCCCCTCCTCCGATCCCTCCATCTGCTGTCCCACCCACCCTGCCCGCACATGGGCTCTTTCTCGCCCTCACTTCGCACACCCCTGACCCTTCCAGTGCATGTGCTGCAGCGCCCCCCCCACCACCAAATACAAGGAAAGGATTGTGGTGAATCAGAGAAGGAAGAGGAGACACATAAATTGCACATTTTAAAACTGCTTAGGATCCCCAGACAAGAGCATAGGTTGTGTGAGCATCAGTCTCCCACGCCATCTACTGGCCACTAGAGGTGCTGGCCTATTTGTCTATAGAGCTCCAGAGCCCTGTATTTTGTTGCTGCTCAGGTGCATGGCAAAGAAGCCAGGAAGCAGGTTCCTGTGTCCCATCTAAGTGCCCCCTGCAACCTCGGTTCATTCTCTCTTGATGAAGTAGGTCAGGTGTACCAGTGTACTTGTTGTGCCTTATTTTTGCTTGACCTAAACTGCAAAGCCTTCCAACACTGAAAGCTTATTTCTGACTTGAGCCACCAGGCAGCCGAGTAGTGCTAGCTGGCTCAGGTCTTCCAGCTCCGTCTTGCTTTCCAGATCTTTAATCTTCACGGCTCTGCACTGGCTCCCCTCCAGGTTTCCACTGTCTCTCTGGAGCCTCCAGGTGACCACAAGACCCTGATCGGTATCTTTGATACTCGACTCCTCCATGGACGGAGGAATAGGTCCCACAGGGTTAAGTGGCACCCAAACCTGGGAGGCACAGCAAGAATCAGAGCCTGTCCTTGAGAAGCAGCCAAGGTGGCTGCAGGCTCGGGTGTAGGGAGCCTTGTCCTCAGGGGCCCCACCCCCCTGAGGCTAGGGGAAGGAGAGAGGGTTTGCCAGGAGTATTTTGAGGTCCTTAAAGGAAGAGACCAGGATCTACATTTGTTGTCCAATATCGTCACGGCCTGGTGTTGGGGAAAACACCTGACCACTGCCAATGAAAAGGCTGAGAGGGGCCAAAGCTCATTTGCCCCGAGGTTTGTGGAACCGTGTGTTAGCCCCCCATTCTCCTCCCAGGAAAGGTGACCCAATACAAGGACAGCCTATAGCACATCTTTGAGAAAGTCTTAAAAGGTGAAGCAGCTTGAAAGAAGGCCCCCGTGTATCCAAGTCTGCCGAGCCCAAGGCATGTGAGCGGACTGAGATGACAGCTGGAGGAAAACGTCCTCCGACCAAAGGGACAGAGCTGCCTCCAAGAGACTGGGGGCCAGGGGTGGGCAGGATGACACCCCCTTCCCAGATCTTCAAGAGCTAGACACAAGTGCATGCACTTCTTTCCGCTGGGGCTCAGTGGGTGCAGGCGAAGTGGTCAGTTGCAGGACTCCAGGAGTGGGTGCCTCCTGGGCTCAGAGGCCAAGCCTGGGAACCCAGCTTTGCTGGCTGTCCAGGCTCTGCTGGAGCAGCCCACTGCAGGAGCTGCTCACCTTCTGTCCCTGCCCTGGCCAGCAGCCAGCCCTCAATCAAGCCTCTCCCTGCACTCCATCTGGTTGTGGTATTCACTGGGGAAGGGGTTTGGCCATCCGGCCTCTCCAACCCCATCAAGGCCCCAGCATTTCAAGGGCATCCGTCTCCTGCCCTGGCTCCTACCCTGCTTGCTGATGCCCAGAGAGGCTGAGTGAAGTGTGTGCAGCCTCTTGGGGAGGAGCGCCCAACAGCCCTTCTCACCAGGGTCAGCTCTCCCTCTCTCACCACTCCCCCCATCCTGGGTATATGATGCAATCTTCAGATTCCCCCAAACCTGCCATGCTCATGCTCACCTGCCCACCCCCTGCAACCTTTGTCCTGAAACCCCAGAATACAGCTTGACCCCAAAACATCACTAGCTTACTCCCTAATCTACCTATCAAGCACTTCACCCCATTGAGAAATCACCAGGCACGGGGGACATCAGGAGACAACTGGGTGGAGTGAGTGAGGAGGCAGAGGAGGGCTGGGGTCCTGGTGTTGGGCTTTGTGCAGGATGAGCCTGCACAGCACATTGCTGCCGCCTTCTCCCTAGCATCTTGCCCACCAGGAATAGCCTCCGATCTCCTGGGCATGCACAAGCCCATCAGCTCAGCACCACCACTCCACACCCTTGGAGTCTTCCTCCAGGCAGCAGCTTCCCTGCCAGGGTCTTACAGACCAGAGTCCTTCGTTAAACCTCACAAATCCTGAGCCAAGAAAGACGCAGGTGCTCGGGGGCTTCTTGCCACCTGGCCTGGTTAGGCCAGATCTGCAAGAGCTCCCTGCACCTTCCTCTGGGCTGGGAGCTCAAAAAACAGCCTCCGTGCCTGCCCCAGGGACCAAAGACTTTGTCTTCCTAGGTGGCTGCTCTCCCCTTGCACCCCCCTCTCCACCCACATTCCCCATCCGGGGTGCTGGACTATCACCACTTCCGGGAATCCTGGAATATGGGGATGGATGGGGAATAGGATGTCCCGTTGCCTCATCCTGTTTATTTGGGGTCACTCAAAGCCCCATTTCCTTTTTAGGGTATTTGAGAACAGATCAGTGAAGACAGAACCACCCACACCCACCCACCCCAGCACCTGTCTCATGGTGGGGAATCCTGACCACATCCTGCCCATGTGGGAGAAGCAATCATAGGTCTCCCCACTCTGAGTCTGTGAGGCTGGGGGTGTGTGGGGGAAGAGCTGAGAAGAGAAAGGGACCCAGAGCTGGGTGTCTACGAGAGAATTTAGTGGAAATCTGGACAGGCCAGGGGAAAAGGGGGCTTGGCGTGGAGTTCAGACCTACAAATACATGAACGAAGTCCTGGTTCTCTAAAGGTCATAAGTCAGCTAAATACAGACTGTCACCAAGTCACTCCTATATTTAAACTTGCGCCGCCCTAGACAGCTGTCGGCCTCTCTCAGACTGAGGCTGAGTAATGGCCCAGCCTCCAGGGGCCTGGAGCGAGGCCTCATTCTGTCTGCCCCCTGCTGCTCCCTCTGGCCTCCTACGTCCATCCAGCTCACCTGGCTCCCATTTCCCCTCTTCCTGCCCTTTGGGTCCCCTGCTCCTCCTCCCTCCCCACCATTCAGCTCCAGACCCCAGGACCTTGGTTCCGTGGATCCAAATCCATCCGCAAGCCCAGTGGTTCTGAGAGCCTGCGGCCTCTGCTCATCTTAGCTGTCGCTGGGATCCCCAGCATCTCAGCTCTCAACCCCACCTCCCGCCACCACCCCATCTGCTTTAGCCAACTCCAACCAGCAAACTGCCCACACCTTCCAGGGGACAGTTTCCTCACCCTTCCTCCTTCCTACCCCCCAGAACCCTCTCCCTCCTGTCACCCTTCCACTGTGGATCAGAGAGACTCTGCCCATGGTCCCTTCCTCCAAGAAGCCTTCCTGCCCACTCTTCCCCTGCCCCCCACGCCAAGTTGCCCACCGCTGAATGAGCTTCGGCCCCTCCTCCTGGGAGAGCAGAGACCTGGTCCACTGTAGCCTTGATTACTCACCGCGCCCTGGGAGGCTGACCTTGAGGCCTTTTCCCTCCCCCTGCAGAGAGAGACTCCCGCGAGCATGAGGAGCCCACCACCTCCGAGATGGCCGAGGAGACCTACTCCCCCAAGGTCTTCCGGCCCAAGCACACTCGCATCTCTGAGCTGAAGGCCGAGGCCGTGAAGAAGGACCGCAGGAAGAAGCTGACCCAGTCCAAGTTCGTGGGTGGAGCTGAGAACACTGCCCACCCCCGGATTGTCTCCCCGCCTGAGATGAGACAGGAATCTGAGCAGGTGAGCCTGAGGACCCTACCGTCTGCCACCCCCCACCTCCTGACCATCCCAGCTGAGGCAGCAGAAAGTATGATGGCCTGGCCAGGGACCAACTGTGTGCCTGGGAGCTCAGTTTAGGATTCGGGAGAATTGTCGGAGACAGAGAGAGCAGGAACAGAGGTGGCACTCGTGCGGGAAGAGTCCCTGCCAGTGCAGTGGCCACTTGCTAGGTGTGTCACCCCCAGAGCTGGAGGCTTTCCTGGAGCATCCAGAGACAGCCACCTCCAGACTTTCTTTCCCAGCAGGATAGAAAGCCGAGGGTGGGTGGTCTGAAGGACCAAAGGGAAAACATGGCTCCACATCTGGCCACAGGTGGATCCTTGTACACTCTTGGGGCACACAACGGGGATAGGGAGCAAAGAACCAAGGGTGGCAACTCATCCCTGAGCCCTGTCAGCTGCCGTGTCCACTTGGGCCGTGGCAGGTGCTCATCCTTGCTGTCCACACAGGGCCCCTGCCGCAGACACATGGAGGCATCCCTGCAGGAGCTCAAAGCCAGCCCACGCATGGTGCCCCGGGCCGTGTACCTGCCCAACTGTGACCGCAAAGGATTCTACAAGAGAAAGCAGGTATGTGGTCATCTCCTCTCCCGAGCTCCTAGGCTCCAAAAATGGCACCTGCCAAGAGAGGGCCACCTTGCACGTAGCTAAGACTTCTACCACTGGTGATTTAGTGTTTCCCAAAACCCAGTGACCCCTGGACATCCGAGAGCGTCAGAGTCCCCTGGAGGGCTTGTTAAGGTGCTGCTGGCTAGGCGCCAGGTCTGGAGCGGACTCTGAGCTCTCCAATGTATAACAAGTTCCCACGTGCTGCTGCTGCTGCTGCTGCCTCCAAGGCACCCCCAATCTAAGGCAGCGTAAGAGCCAGAGCACCTTACGGTAAACCTTGGCTCTGCCACTTCCTAGTCATGTCCTCTCACCCCAGGCACGTTTTGTCTCTGTGCCTCAAGACCACGGTATAAAATGGGCAGAGCAGTCCCTGCCTCACAGCATTGAGAGAAGTGAGTGCTTAATCTCTGGGACACTAGACAGTGTTCAGCAGCTCTGGTACGTGACCATGCAGCACAGTGCTGCCTCCTGTTACATCCTTGCCATTATCAGGTGGCAAGTAATTACGGTACCCGTTATTATTAATTATTCTTGCCACAGTCATGATTATCAGGGCGTGCACCTCTCTTGGAGAGCCTTACAGAATTCTAGGTTGGAGAACCCCAAATGGATACCAACAACAAGAACAAAATAGAGATCTTAGGCTCTAGCCAGAGGCAGGCTCACTTCTGAAATTGGAACACCAGAGTCCCCTGCCCTCTCTAGGGATCAGTCAGGCCGGGGAGGGGGGTAAGATGGGCAGCAACAGAGCCTCGGGTACAACCGTCCTCACTGCCTGTCGCTCTGCGCCCCAGTGCAAGCCTTCCCGCGGCCGCAAACGTGGCATCTGCTGGTGCGTGGACAAGTACGGGATGAAGCTGCCAGGCATGGAGTACGCGGACGGAGATTTTCAGTGCCACGCCTTCGACAGCAGTAACGTTGAGTGATGCGTCCCCTCCCCGTCCCCCCTCGCCCCCCCACCCCCAGCCCCGACTCCAGCCAGCGCCTCCCTCCACCCCAGGACGCCACTCCATTCATCTCATTTAAGGGAAAAAGAAATACACATGTATCTATTTGAGGAAACTGAGGGCCTCGGAATCTCTCGCAAGGGCTCGACTTTGAATATGGCAACAACGGAGACGCCAGAAGCTAAGGAGACCTCTCCTTGGGCAGGATTTTCTTTTTGAGGCAGGTTGAACGAGCGGAGAGGGGCAAGAGGAAGAGAAGGGAGGAACGCGTCAGCGTAGGGCAGAGAAGAAGAGAGACAGAGTGACCAGAAGGCACGTGGGCAGGAAGGAGAAAAGGCCACTGGGCCAGGGCTGGGTGCAGGAGGTCGGGCAGCGAAAGGCGTGGCTTCGATGGCGTTCTCCCCGTTCCGATTGGTCGGGGAGAGAAAGGAAGACAAGAGAGGTCATCGCCTCTCGCGGATCAGTCTCCTCCTCCAGCCTGCAGACGTGGGCGGCCCGACCCCCGTGCCTCCTCCCCTCTAACCCCTAGGAGGAGTCTTCTCTCTCTCTCCCCCAGATTCATTTAAAAAAAAAAAAAAAAAAGCATTCCATTCCTCCGAAAAGTAATCGATTTCACCGCTGAGTGATCTTAGGTAAACAGGTCTCCCTAAGCGAGATCCGTGAGGCTGAAATCCGTGTGCCCTTTGCACTGCCCCTGCATTCATGTAGAAGTCAGTTCACACCGGATACAGGAAAGACCTGTTCTTCCAGGGTGACTAAAAAAACCTGCAGAGACCTGCTGGCTTCAGCCCCTCGTTGCATTGGATTCACAACTAGCACAGCACCCTCTGTGGAGGAGGATGGACTGAAAACCAAGTGGGCTTGTATCATCTACAAGGCTCCATATAGTCATATATAGGCATGTAAATCTATCTCCTATCTTTATTTCGTTTCTTCCTTTTTTTTTTTCTTTTTGCATTAATTTTTCAAAGTAGTTCCAATGGGGGCGTTGAGAAGCTTCCTCGTTCTGGGAAAACCAAGAAAATCCGTATTGTCCAAATACAACCCATAATCGCAGTATCCCTGCCCCTAGTCAGGGCTCCCCACAAGCAGCAAACCCAGGTCTGTCTGGGGCATGGTGTTGAACAGCCAGGTAGAAGTCAGCCTTTGTTGCTGTTCCCTGGCTCATCCCATTCCAGTCTTCAGAACCTTGGGAAGCCATCGTCTCTGAACCTCAGGACATGGCACCAAATGAGCCCAGCAGGTCCATGTTGCAGCATGAGTCCTGCCCTGGCCTTGTCCTTGCCTGGGGACAGAGCATTTGAAAGGTCTCTCTCTCAGTCTCCCCACTGGCAGAATAGGAGAGAGACTGACCGGAGAGATGGCCAAGAGGGAGGTGGTGGGGAAGGCTGTGGGTGCAGAGCAACAGGAAGCTGATTGTTGAGGCCAGAGTAGACGGCGTGGAGGGACAGAGAGGTGGCAGGAAGGGACACAGCCGATAGAAATTCCTGGGCATCGCTAATGCACAAGCCCACTGGGACTCAAAGAGAGAAGAGAATGGCAGAGCAGGTTGTAAGATAGGAGTGAGCTCAACTCAGGCCACAGAGCCAAGAAAGGCAAGGATCTCAAGGCGGATCCTGGACTCTAAAAGCTGCATGGGAATAAGGATCAGCAGGAACTGGTCGGGATTTTGAAGGGGCGAAACTTTGAGCTCAGACTGCCCACCCTCAGACCACCATGAGCCACCTGAGGCCAAGGAATCTTTCCTGCTCTTCATTTGTTCTGGCCAAGCCTTGCTTCTTCCCTGAGGCAGAGGATGGAAGAAGGGCCCAGGACAACCAGGGGCAGGTGCCTCAGACAGCCGGGTTCCGATCCAAGAAAAACTCTCGTCCTCCACATATGGGTGGCCTTGGCACTGTGCTGGAAGGCTGAGCTGGCCCACCCCCCAAAGGAGGCTTGGCCACTGCCACAGAGGTTTCTTGCTGTGGATGAAGCTCTCTCTTGATGACGTGACCCAGAGGAAACCACCCTCCAACACCTAACTTGGGGCAATGGACAAGGGACAGGGAAGAAGCAACTGCGTGAGAAACATGTGGCTGCAGCATGTGAGAGATGTCTCCCCTAGCCTGGGCAGCTGGCTGGGGGCAAGAGAGGTGGTCCGGCTTTGCGAGACAAAGGGCCTGATGGGAGCGACAGCGCCAAGACCTGACCTCCCACGTCAGTGCACCCTGCCGCTCTACACAGCTATCCCCAAACCCCGACTCCGTGCTATGTCGTTGGCCAGTATCCTCAACCTTTGGCACCCTACTCCTCCTTCTGCCATTCTTCTTTTGGATCTTGAGCAGTCATCCAGCTGGGGTCTGCTAAGTGGATACTGGGGTGCCACACCCCTAAGAAGAGACTGAGCCAGGGACTGCCTCCTCCTCCCTCTCCCTGATTCCCAAGAGGGGCTCCCTCCTTCCCCGCTGTCTGCTGACCTGACGTGGAAGGTCTCTGCCCCTTAGGCTGGCTCTCTGCTGGCAGCCGCAGGTAGGGAGAAGGGTTGATTTAGCCCCCACAGCCTCTCCAGTCCTCAAGAGTTCACGCCTGCCATCCCAAACCTGTGAGTCTCCCTGGCTCACACGGGTGTGTTGGCACATCTGGCCAGCCCAAGAGGAAACTGGACCTGCATGGACACATGGAACTAAGCATCCCGAATGGGAAAACTGGCTGCACCCAAGGGAGAAGACTGTGGAAGGAAATCACTGAGGGACGGTCACCCTCCACCCTGGGCAGGGTTTGGACGGTGCCAGCAGGCTAGGTCCTGAGCAGGGATCTCCTGGGCTCCAGGCTGCTGTTGGCCAGCTCTCTGCTCACCCCACAGCCTTACACCCTCAGTTATCGCAGCCCCAGGTCTGAGTGTGGCCCACCCCTGCCCCTGCTGACTCAAGCCTCACTCCAGCAGTGGAGAAGACGCCTCCGTCTTCCCTAGTACCACGAGGAATGGACGGAGGCCTGGACAAGACGGCTCCTCCTTCCCCCAGCCTGCCCTGACCCACCTGGGCTGGCAAAGATGGGCACCTGGGGAGGGGGAGACTCAAACACCTCTCTGACAGCCAGGCCTACACAGACAGGCCTGGGACACTCAGCCCTGACCCAGGGATGGAAGGTGAGCACAGGAGGCCTTGTGTGGTCACCTTTCCCCCTCGCCCCATCCTCCCATCACTGCCTCGTGGTCTCCATGGTAACCCCGAGGGGTTCACCTTCTCGGAGCGAGGTGGGTCTCAGCCACCCTCCTCCCCAGCTCACGCACAGTGACAGGGCTGCCACGGCTGCCACTGCACCCACCAAGCCCCCTCAAGGTGGGCCGGTTACCCCCTCCCTCTCCCCCTGCCACCTTTATCCACAGACTCAGACCCAGAGAACTGCAGGCCAGAATGGGACCTCCAGACAGGGAGGGCCAAGGAGACGCTGCCCACTGGTCTCAGAGAGGAAGTGCTGTTGCTTCCAGGAGAAAGGAGGCTGAGTTTTGAGCAGAGTGGGGGCAAGGACAGGGGTGTGACCATCCGACCGTCTGTTGTACTGTCTTTATTTTTTAAAACCACTAAGGTGCAAGGATCCTTTTGCACTGTTTCACCACCTCCTTTTGTCTTGTAGGTTTTTGTTTCTTGTTTCAAAAACACACTTTCTTGGTTTTCTCCTGGAGTCTGTAGTGTAGACATTGGCAGACTCTGGCCTCTTTGTTCCTTCTGGGTGGGGAGGGCCCGAGGGGAAGGGGTCTCCAGCCCCCCCTGCACCCACTGGCCCCGCTTCTCTGGTCCCTGGCCACCGCCTGAGCCCCATCTCCACCACCACCACCACCGTCACACAGTAGCTCCCATGGATAGCACCGTTGTCAGACAAGATTCCCTCAGATTCCGAGTTGCCTACCGGTTGGTTTTTTTCTTTAAGACAGCAATAAGCACAGCACATATTACTGTAGCTCTCTGTAGTGTTAGGTACATGCATACCATAGCTCTGGTCTCTCTACTTGTTTTTGTTTTCAACTTTAAAACAACAATAAATGCTCATAATCTTTACTGGTGAAAGGATGGGAAAAATAAGCCAATAAACGAAACCAGTTTGTGAAAAAGCAAAAGGCAGAAAACTATCACGTGAACGTGGAAGAGCTCAGCTCCTGTTTAGCATTTTGTACTTAAGGAAATAAAAAAACCACAAAAAAAACAAAACACCCAGAGGATCTCACGTTTTATTAAAAAGTGAAGATTGCTGTATGCTATTTATTCAACTTATAATTTATGTTACTCCTTGATCTTTGTCTTTTGTCATGACAAAGCATTTATTTAATAAAGTTATGCATTCAGTTAGCCTGCGTCGGCTTCCTCTGAGCGCTCAGGGTGCATAGGGAGAGGGCGAGTGAGCGCCAGGGATCTCCTCAGGCCACAAACCCAAGGGGAAGGAGAAAGGACCCTGGTGGGGGCAGGGCTGGGGACCAGGTCTCTCCCTTGATTGGAGAATGGGTGACCCTGGAAGACAAGCACCCCGCAGAACTCAGTGCCCCCTTCTCCACACATCCAGAAGCCGCCGCAGACCAGTGACCCTAACCGCCCTGGGCCTTCCTTCCCCTTGGGTAGCAACTTCACAGGGCCCTTGTGAGGATTAAACAAGAGAGGGAGTGCCGAGCTCTAGGACAGCCAGCACACAGTAGGCGCTCAGCTGTTGCTGAGACTGTTACTATTAGTCCTGTCTTTTCATCTCAGCCTTTGCTATTAAAATAAAAGTGCCTTAACCCACCCTGACATGAATGATGAGTCGCTTCTCCTTGGAGAAGACTTTAAGGAATTTCTAGAGTGTTCTAGAATGTTCCATCGCTTTGCCTGCTCTTAGAGCCTGGAAACTTCCGGCCAAGCAGAAAATCCCCCCTTTTGGTCCCCACCCAACCCTCACTCCCTTTTGTGCCCAATAAAGAGGAAAGTTGTGAAATGACGGCTATCATTTAAACCATGTCCTCCTGCCTTCTGCCTCTATCACCTGTGGCTCCCTCCTTCCCAGACCCCTTTGTCACCCATGCTCTCCCCTGTGCATCCCATTGGCTGCACCCTACAGAGGCCTCCCAGAGGTGATGGTGTCTGCACTCTGCCCAGCTCAGCAGCTGAGGCCATCAGGAACCCTGGCGTCCAGCTCAGGCCAAGTCACATGGCAAGTGCAGTCACTGGGGGCATCTCAGCCTGCCTGTCATCAGCTCATGTTCTCCTGGGGTCACTGAGACTGCTCCCTGAGATCTCATGGTACCAGGTTCCCTCAAGTTCGGGTAGAAATGCTTCCAGCCCAAAAGGCCCCGGGCACAGGGCTTCCGAACAGGTGTTTTCTCAGCATCTGCCCTGCGGTCACCTGCAGCCAGCACCTGGCAGCAGAGGTAAAGATGGGAGTGCTCAAGATGACCAAGAGGTGTGGAGGGCACGGAGCCTTGAGCTGGGGGCCGAGGAGGGCACGCGAGAAGGCCCTGGCACGTGGCTGCCATCACCAGGGACTTTCTCCTGGCATCTCCATCAGAAGCTATTCTTGCTGCTGTCACCACACACTGCCCAGAGCAGGTGTGGCCCAGGACCAGTCTCTGCTTTGTTCCTGCCTGGGGGCTTCTCTCACTCCCAGCCTCATGACCACTTCATGACCACCACGTCTCTCCACTCCTGGCTCCTCCTCCCTGCCCTTTAACCCTCCTGAGCTAGCTCCCTGCTCACACCCCAGGCCAGTTGGGATCCTGGCTCTTAACCCCGCCCCTTGTCTTACCACCTCGCAGGGTACCTTAGGGGTGCTTGTGACTCATTGGGCGCCCACTCCTCGCCTCAACCTGCTGCCCACCACAGCCCTCTCCTCCATCTACTCAGGCCACACTCTCAGCCTTGGTGCCCCAAAAGGATTCTGGAACTCAAACCCGAAATTCCCATTTCCCACTCTCATCGCAGTAAGAGAGATACAGAGCCAGAGAACGGCTAGAGTCAACATTTTCCCCAGTGAAGAATGAGAGTTTCTAGTTCCCCTCTGCAAAGCCAACATTTTCCCCAGTGAAGAGTGAGAGTTTCTGGCTCCCCCTCCCATCTTTAGCAGTCCATAGACCTCTCTGGTTTATCTTCCTTCCATAAGGAGACCAGAGCCCTTGTTCCCACCCTTGCCTTCTGCTCCACTGGGCCCTACAGCCCCTCCCCCAATCCCCTGCCTCCTGTCCAATATGGTACCTAGGAGAGCTCCACCCCACAGCAGCCCCAGGCTCTGCAGGCTCCAAACCCTGCCCAGAGACCAGTTAGAGTCCCTGATTGGATCACCCCTCCCGTGATCCCTCGTGTCTACAGCACACTGCTCCTTTCCTTGCGCCTAGCAAACGCCCTTGACCTTGCGCTATCAGAGACAACCTAGACCAGCAGATGAAAACTCCCTTCATCTGTTCATCCTCACCCCTATGGAATTCACCACAAAACCACTCATCAGCGGCCAGCGTTGTGGCAGAGGGTTAAGCTGCCACCTGTGACGCCAGTATCCCATAGGAGCGCCTGCTCGAGTCCCTGTTGCTCTGCTTCCCATCTAGTATCCTGCTAATGCACTTGGGAGAGCAGTGGAAGACGGCCCAAGTGTTTGGGGCCCTGCACCAATGTGGAGATGTGGAAGGAGTTCCTGGCTCATGGCTTCAGCCTGGCCCAGCTCCTGCTGTTGCAGCCATTTGGGGAGTGAAGTAGCAGATGGAGGTGCTCCCTCTCCCTCTCCCTCTCCCTCTCCCTCTCCCTCTCACTCTCACTCTCACTCTCCTTCTCCTCTAACTCCATTTCTATCTCTCAAGTCTCTCTGTCACTCTGCCTTTCAAATAAATAAATCTTTAAACAAACAAAGCACTTGTCACACTCCTTCTTCCCTGTGCCAGTTCTCCTCTGCTTCTGAGAGAGGAACTGCCTCTTCCTCCACCCTCCCCACCTGCTGCCCCCTCCCCAGCACCAGCCCACACCCCTCTGCACTGGTGACTGGGCAGGGTGCATGTGAACTTCCTTTGCATGGAAGGGACGGACCAGATGCCCCGGTGAGGAGGAGGAGGGGGAGGTAGGCTGTGGCCTCCACCCAGCATCCTTCAGCAATTCAACTCAAACCCATCCTGTACACGCAGGTAGTTCCTCTCTCATCATTATATCTTACACCTTACACAGCACAATTGAATAACGACAGTAGACATGGATTTCACCGCCTCCCCCAGCCACTTGTCTGCCTTCCCTTTCTCCCTGCATCCTGCTCACTGCCTGCTCACCGCCTGTTCTTCCTCCTGCATTCACCAGCTCAGAGAATGGCACCACCACCAGTTGGCTAAGCCTGACCCCAGCCATCAGCCCTGACTCGCATTTGCCCCCTGCATCCCACAAACTGCCAAGGAGGCAGCAACTTGCAGACGCCACAGAGACCTGGTCCCACTCTGCATCTCCTCATTTCCCACCCGATGGCCTCAGTTCCTCCTGCCAGGATGTGCGTCCACCCCCTCCTGTACTTCATCCCCACGAGAGACCTCTCAAGTACAGTTCACATTCTAAACACAGGTCCACTCCCACTCACCCTCTGGCTAAATTCCTCCCGTGGTGCTACCTAGCTCTTGGTCAATCTCCTAGCAAGATGCCCAAGGTCCTTCCTTATGGCTCCCCTCTGGCTTCCTCTCGTGGCTGCTCCTCCACCTGCATCTGCCTTTCACACACCTGCGTGTCATCTCCAAGCTCATTGTGCACCTCATGACTAAAGCTTCTGCACGTGCTGCTGTCTGAACCCCCTAAACACACATGCATACACTCACACATGCACACACACACATGCATACACTCACACATGCACACACGCATGCATACACTCACACATGCACTCACACACATGCACACACTCACACATGCACACACATGCATACACTCACACATGCACACACGCATGCATACACTCACACATGCACTCACACGCATGCATACACTCACACATGCACACACGCATGCATACACTCACACATGCACACACGCATGCATACACTCACACATGCACTCACACACATGCATACACTCACACATGCACACACACGCATGCATACACTCACACATGCACTCACACGCATGCATACACTCACACATGCACTCACACACATGCATGCACTCACACATGCACTCACACGCATGCATACACTCACACATGCACACACACATGCATACACTCACACATGCACACACGCATGCATACACTCACACATGCACTCACACGCATGCATACACTCACACATGCACTCACACGCATGCATACACTCACACATGCACACACACATGCATACACTCACACATGCACTCACTCACACACATGCATGGCCCAACCCAGTCTCCCCGTTCCCCTGGTTCAAAAGGCAAGCACTTGCCTTGTTCTGCACACACCCATGCACATACATGTGCACACATGCCCTCCCTTCCCCTAATTCCTACTTCTCACAACTCTGCCTCCACAGCCTGCCCTGACGTGTCTCCCTGACAGCACACTTGGACGGATATTCAGCCTGACTGCACCTGCAGCCTCCACTGGAGGGTGCTCGCCTGTCACGTCCCTCCACCTGCCGATCATCTCTAGGCAACAAAGCTGTCTCCCTGTGCTGGAACGGCAGCCTTCAGCCCCGGATCTGCTGTGGTTTGGGTTTCTGGTTCGCTGGAGTGTTCCCCAAGGGTCCGTTATGATCAGAACCCTGGCCCCCAGGTGGCAGTGTTGGGACCTGGACGAGGTCCCCAAGTCACTGGGGCTGTGTCCTCTAGAGCGAGCCCTGCTAGGCCCCCAGAGGTTCTCAGGAGAGGGCTGTGATGAGAGCCTGAGTCTGGCCCCACCCAGCCTCTCCCTGTTCCTCGCTCCTGCAGAAGCTCTCACCGTTGCTCTATGTGCCTGCAGCCACAGAGCTCTGCCGTTTGCACTTGGAATCCCCAGCACCGTGAGCCCCAGGAACCTCTCTGCTTCCCAAGTAGCCTGGGCCATGTGCTTTGTTATAGCGATGCAAGCTGACTCACAGGATGCCCTCCCCCGCACCTAGGAGGGAGAAAGCTACACTGAGGAGTTCTGGCAAGCTGGCAGGGATGGCTTCCTCCCCTCACCACAGGCCTCTGACATTGGAATCACACTGCTGTGTCAAGGTGAAGTGAATGGGACTCATGCAGATTAGAAATGCACACACAAGTAGCAGAGTTCTGATTCTGCCCCAAGCCCATGCTCTTGACAACCCCTCGTAGGTAACCGGCATCCAAGACACACTGAACAGTAACTTCCCAAATCCAGGCTGCTTAAGAAAGAGCCTGGGACTTGTGCAGACACACGGGATCTATGCTCGGTT